TGTGTGCGTTTTTGTGACAAATGAGGACATAAATTTGTATAATGACAAAGGTATGACATAGGTATTACAAGGAGAAGGTGACTTTTCAGGACATTACCCCATGTCCCCACTTTTAAAAACGCTTATAAATCACAAAGAATGGAGTGTATTGAAAATCTGAAATAGCACAAAGTTTCCTGTAAGGGGTAGGTTTAGGGGTAGGGTTGGTGTAGGGCAATAGCACATACAGTTTGTACAGTATAAAAACCATTACGCCTATGGGATGTCCCCACTTTTCACAAAAACAAACCTGTGTGTGTGTGTGTGTGTGTTACATTAGCATTGTGATAATAAAACTGAATAACATGCACATGTGTGTGTGTTTAAGCATGTTTGGGAATGTCAGTCATAGTAACTGGCCATAATAAAATTGAAATTGAACACTTAAACATTGAGAGACACCCAGGCATATTGATATTCAAAGAAAACATAAATAAAACAAAAAAAATGTGCTTGGAGTAAGTTATATGATAAAATGTTTCATTGATGTTGCAACTAACCCTGAGTCTTGTAGCCATGAACTATATAGCTCACCTTACAGCTAACAGCCAAAACCTTAGCACCAACAACTAGTATGAAAAATATCTACACAGACACACAATAAACATTATTTTACTTTGATGAGTTTAACTACAAAGCAGGGACTGCCATCGCAAAAATTAATGAAGTATAAAAAGTTACTTTTGTACCTCAAAATTAGTTTTTCTCCTCTAAAATCTAGCTGCTGTGTCTGCCACAGGGCTCTACTTCATCACATGTGGGATAAGGACTAAACTGAGAATGTGTGGAGTGAATTAGGTGATTTGCAACTTGTTGCTTATTTGGGAAATTGGAAGTGCTACAGCTGACGAGTGTTACAACCATCCCCTGGCTGCTGGCTCCCCATAATGTAAAAAGGCAGAAAAATTCAGGAAATCTTCTTTTGGGGTTCCACATGTAGTACATACAGAATATTGGCAAAAATGTGTCTCTTTTTTATTTCACAAATCTAAATTGCAAAAGCATTTTCATTGTGTCATTAAAGTCACTTTTAAAGCCCTTTTTTTCTCCATTTTGGGCGAACTGGTCCTTTTACATTACATTACTTTGGCAAAAATTCAGTGAACAGTGAAGATGAGGCACTTTTAGTTCACGCTGATATTATTTTAGCAAACAGGCTACAAAGTGTCTCAGCATTCATGTTTCCATTAAAACTGTTAGGATATACTGGAATAGTCCAACTGTAGAAACATACAAGCCAAACATTTTTTTAATGTAAACTTATACCACCTAAAAGCCATAGACAAAAAAAAAAAAAAGTAAAAATGCATGAACCACCATATCCTTTAATAGCACAAACAGTCTAGAAGCTTAAAACGCAACATGCTTGAAGGTTTTCCAATCATGCAGATAGAAAAAGGCGGTGATTGATTGTTGGATTGGTTGCTTCAATTGACTGTTTTTTGATTAAACTACTTCTGGAAGCCAGCACAAATACCAAATAATAAATTAGATATTTGACTGAATAAAATATTTGACTGAATTAAAAGCACAATCAGTTCTGCCTCCTCTTATTGTTTAAGTGAAGCCCAGAAAACACTTGCTTATTCACAATCATCATTTTGCGTTTGCGTTGTGTGAATGCGCATACGATAGTTAATGGAAGCTAGAAATTATGGTTTATATTAAAAAAAAAAAATTATTTAATTTTAATTTAAAAAAAACAAATGTTATGGATATTTTTCTTACACAAACACATTGTGATTCACTTCAGAAAGCCTTTACCAACCCCCCAGAGCCATGTGGAGTACTTTTTATGATGGATGGATGCACTTTATTGGACTATTGAATTCACTGCCATTATAAAGCTTGGATACGAGTCATGGCATTTTTAATATAATTCCAATTGTATTGGGCTTAAAGAAGAAAGGTATATACGCCTAGGATGGCTTGAGGGTGAGTAAATGATGCTGTAATTTTCATTTTTGGGTGAACTGTCCCTTTAATTAGAAAATCACCTTAGATCATCTGAGCTTCACGCTGGTTGTTCACACACTGCTGTTTTCATTATAACGTTCACTTGTGGATGCGACAAAACCACATATTTAACACCCACACACAAACACACTGAATAATGCTTTGTGCATTTACCCAGCACAATAACCACAGGCATTGAGCTCAGACCCCTGACTTACTGATCTCATTAAGAGTTCAAAATTTTCCACCAAAACAGACATCGCAATTCAGTTGCGTAATGTCGAACTGTAATGAGGTTTATTCATGAATAGATTGTACAATCAGTTAACCACTCAAATAAAAACACATTTAAATTTGAACACATTTTTCTTATCAAACAGAACTGATCTAATATATGCATATCAATTTTATAATTTAGTTTTTAAATCTAGTTTAAAAATATCTATCTATACATTTATTTTTCTTAAACTTTCGCTAATGTAATGCTCTTCCCCACATCTCACTTACAAATACAATTCACATCCTGTGAAACCACAGGCTGTAGTTTCAACCACACTGTCAATAGCAGTGTTGGGGAAAGTTACTTTTAAAAGTAATGCATTACAATATTGCGTTACTCCCTAAAAGGGTGAATTGGATCATCGAAGGTCAGCAGCAAAGACATTGGTTAATAAAATGTGATTAAATACATAAATTATATTTGTCTTATTTAACATTTAATTATTGCAGGTTTGTATAATTTTCTGAGTTTGCATTTGACTGTTTTTATTCATTTTGAGGAAAACTGAATCTGTTCATATTTAGTGTAGAATTACAGTAAGCATCACGTTCACACAGCGCACACAACACCTCTGCACTTACTCCCGATTTCTCTCAATATGGCAACACAAGAGCTGTCAGTCAATACATGGGGGGAAAAAGTAACTGGAGTTACTTGTTTGAAAAAGTAACTCAGATATTTCCTTCTAAATTAAAAAGTAATGCGTTACTTTACTAGTTACTTTAAAAAAAGTAGGTTACACTTTATTTCGATAGTCCACTTTAGACATTCCATTAACTATAAGTAACTTTGTAACTACATGTCAACTACATGTCAACTAATTCTCATTAATTTGCAACTACATGTCTACTAACTCTCAGAATAGACTGTTAGGGTAGGTTTAGGGTTAGTAGAATAAGTTGACAAAGAAAGTGTTAGAAGATATTAAGCAGACAGTCTACTAATACTCTACTAACTGCTAGTTGACATGTAGTTGCAAAGTTACTTACTGTTAATAGAATGTCTAAAGTGGACTATCGAAATAAAGTGTTACCAAAAAGTAATCTGATTACGTAACTTGCGTTACTTGTAATGCATTACCCCCAACACTGGTCAATAGTGTAACATACAAACAACAGAATCCAATCTAATGACTGAAAACAACATCTGATCCTGGGATTCATAAAAAATATAATTAAAAATGTGCATCAGTTTTCCATGAATAAACTTACATGCATTTCACTGAACATGACATTGGTCAATCCTCTACATCAGGGCTTTACTGTGGCATAAAGAGACAAAAATAATCAGCGCAGAGAGAATGTTTAATAATGCTTGCTCATTAATACACAAATCACTTCAACAGCCTAAAAATGTCAAGTACTAAAGAACTTAAGTGAAGCAAAAAAGGTGACAGGCAGCATTTATATATAGACTTCAGTGCATTACTAAAAATGACTACATTCAAACAATTTGAATAAAGATAAAACTCAATTCATCAGTCACATTAAATCACATGAACTGGGTTTGTCAGGTTAAATTGACTCTAAAACTGGAGATATTCATTCAGATGTTACTGATATTTTGCCAAGAGCTTCATTCAGTGTCCATAAATTAACCGCATTACACAGACATAGATAATACTGATAACTATTGCAAAACTTTGTTAAATAGTGCATTATTTACAATGTTTTACATTGTGACACCTTTCTTCAGAAAAAGAAAAACTTCATATGAGTAAATGCATCACGTGTAGGCTAAGTAATTCACTACCTACCGAATGCACATAGAAAATTCTTGCTTGCTGATTACATCAAATTACAATATTTAATGTGTAAATTCATACACAGATTACACCATAATGACATAAATAATTAAAAGAACCTGAGATTATATTCTTGAACTGATGTTTTAGAAATATAGGTAGGCAGCAATAAATTAAAAATGACCTGTGTTAATGGTCTTATCTTCCAAGTAGGAGTGCTGAAATTGCTTTTTCAGAATACTTTTCAAAAGGCAGTTATTTGAAATTTTGAAAGTTTTGAAAATTCATTTTCCTTCATTTGGAAAATTTAGCTTTTTGTCCCACATATGGTTATCTACCAGCAGAGAGCCAAACCCATTATACCAACCTGTAAGTGTTACAAAGAGTCTGCAGAGGGAGCCATTAGCACAGCGATTATACAAGCATCCCACAGTACAGAACACATTTGACCTTATTGTATTTGTTTACGAGTATATGAAAATCCCTTAAATGTGACGTGGTCTTTCTTAATAAAGATCAAAAAAAAATTTTTAGAAATTACTTCAATTAAATGCTGAAATTCAGTCATTTGTAGCTACAACCAGTGCATTTGGAGTTTAACTGGGGTTTTGAACTTTGCTACATGCTGATATACACCTCAACATGCTCTGCCCTGTAATAAACCGAGGTGTATGATAATACAGTCTACATGATCATCGTCGCAAAACAACTTCTGAATACACCGTCCGATCGTGTCCATTAGACCCCTGTAAGAGACACACATCGGGAAGTCAAGAGAGAGATAAGATCACAATAATGATACAACACATGCTTAAAGCACAGTCAGAAAATGAAAATGACAAATAATATACACATAATTTCAATAAATTAAAAAACACACTATGTGCGATGGGGGTTTTTTTATTGCCGCAAAGACAGTTAAAATAGGAAAAGAAGTGTCCCATTGGATTCAGCATCTATTCATGGGAGCTTTGTGACGATATAAGCTCATGCACAGAAAATGCAGAAATAATGGACAGTCAAAGCATTCAAAGTCACAGCCAATGCACATAAAACAAACAGCAGATCCTTAGAGTGATCTGTGGGCTTGAATCATGTTCAAATAAGATGAAATGCAGTTTTTAGAGACGGATTCATTACTCGATCCACAAAAGAAAACAAATCATAAGCACATTAAGAAACATTAAATGCCGATTTTTTTTAAATTGTGTATGATGTCTGAGTGTTAAATGATATAACATCATGTATATAAACAAACTACAGCAGAGAATAGCAAAACATATCTTACCGTATCCTGATCTCCATGTTTAATAAATGTCGCATCAGTATAATCAACCTCCTCCTCATTACTCTGAGCTGTTTGATAATAATGTATAAAATAATAATAAAAAGGTTAAGAAACTGAAATTGTGTTTCCAAGATTTTTTGACACTTCTATATATTTGGTTGTATTTAATACTTGCCCTCTTGTTTTGCTTGTGTGTAGTTTCTGCGGCGACAGATCAACACAACTACAGCTGGGACCACTAGCAGCAGCAAGAGCAAGAGCAACACAACAAGAACAAGTGAAGTTTGGTTGGATTCTGTAATGGATAAAACACAAACAGTCATTAGACGACTGTAAGTGACAAAGATGAACAAGATAAAAAAATATTTTCTATATTGAAAAACATATAATTCCACATCTTGCTCAGTGTACTCCTCTAAAGTGAATATAGAGCGATTTCCCAGCTAAGAAATGTATGGGTAACACTTTACAATACGGTTCGTAATGTATTAACTAACACGAACGAACAATGAACAGTACATTTATTACAGTATCTATATATTTGGTTGTATTTAATACTTGCCCTCTTGTTTTGCTTGTGTGTAGTTTCTGCGGCGACAGATCAACACAACTACAGCTGGGACCACTAGCAGCAGCAAGAGCAAGAGCAACACAACAAGAACAAGTGAAGTTTGGTTGGATTCTGTAATGGATAAAACACAAACAGTCATTAGACGACTGTAAGTGACAAAGATGAACAAGATAAAAAAATATTTTCTATATTGAAAAACATATAATTCCACATCTTGCTCAGTGTACTCCTCTAAAGTGAATATAGAGCGATTTCCCAGCTAAGAAATGTATGGGTAACACTTTACAATACGGTTCGTAATGTATTAACTAACACGAACGAACAATGAACAGTACATTTATTACAGTATTTATTAATATTTCTTAATGTTAGTTAATGAGAATACAGTTGTTCATTGTTAGTTCCTGTTAACTCACAGTGCATTAACTAATGCTAACAAGCACAACTTTTGATTTTAATAATGCATTAGTAAATGTTGAAATTAACTAAGATTAATAAATGCTAAAGTACTATTGTTCATTCTTAGTTCTTGTTAACTAACGTAGTTAACTAATGTTAACTAATGAACCTTATTGTAAAGTGTTACCAATGCATGTTTTAAAAATGTTCAGGTTTCCTGTTGAAGGGTTTCGATAATAGTCCAGCATTCCCCTACCTGTATTGTTCTTACTTTATTTTTTAATATTCCAAGAAGGTCAATGATAACATTCATCAAGAATAAAATGGATTTTCCGAAAATGTTGTTCTTAGAATGTGTTCACTCAACCATAACCATAACATTCAGTAAAGACATCATGAAGACATTCGAAGAACATTGTTCTAAGAATGTTTCTCTCAAGTTCAACATCATAAGAACATATCAAATGTTACTAATGTTATATGAATGTTCTAAAAATGTTATTTAAAGAACATTTTATAGTAACATTTATCTTAACCTTTACAGAACATTAGTGAAAGTTGCGGGAATGTTCCATGTTAGCTGGGATGCTTATGCTCATACACACTCGACTGTCTGTGAAGTTTAATTTCTATCATTTATATAGCTAAGAATATAACCTTCATATAATGTGCTGGGAAACCCACATTTAAGAGCACACACACACACACACACCTAAAAAGGTGTGATTAGTCAAAATGCTTAATTTGTGTGAGCCAATGGGAGTTTAACAACTCAATAAAACATTTGACCGATCAACCAGCATTACATTATTAACTGCATCAAACAGTCCAATTATGGACTCTAAGGGAGTTTTTACACGGGCAGTTATTAGGTGAACAGTAAATGCGCCCAGTGTAAAAGTCCCAACTACTGACATACCTGAATTTGGCTGACAAAGTTGAGTGATGTCCAGATGTCTGCTCTGGTTACTGATGGGATTGTTGAGCACACAGCTGTAGGTGTTTTTCTCCTGATATTCCACCTCCAGAGGTAGAGAGAGACTGATGCTGAGATCAGACACACTGATGCTGGACAATAAACTGTTTCCTTTGTACCAGGAGAGAGTAACATCACTCACATTCACAGCTGAACACAGCAGCACACATTTGGACGCTGATGATCCTGATGATGAAGAAAAATTGTGTGAAGAGTCTCTGATAATGACAGGAACAGGCAGAATGCCTAAAAAACATGAAAGAAAAACACGTCAGGAACAATCAATTACTGATAATGATGTTTTTAAAGACCGTCAATCATCATAGATCAATAACAATGTGCTTCCAGATGGTCAGTTTTGCATTTGATTTAAAATTAAAAACTCTTTTAATATGATTTATTCAGTTTACTCACCATAGACAGCAATCCTGAAGCTCATGTGTTTGATCACTCCACTGATGATCTGTAGTTTATAAAGTCCAGAGTGTAGTCTGTTGATGTTTGTGATGGTCAGAGACCCTGTCTGTTCATCTATCTTTAGTCTGTCTCTGAATCTCTCATTCTCACCACTAGCATATATAGAGATGATCTGTTTATAGATTTCAGCAATACGAGTCTCTGAATTCTGAAGTCTAAATGACCACAGTATCTGATCATCTTTCTGTAGTTCAGTAACATTGGTGTTTAAAATGACAGAATCTCCCTCCATGACTGATATCGTCATGGTTTCATCTGTATAAACATCAGACACACCTGGAAGAAAAGAGTCGGCAAAACAGTCAAAGATTATCACCTCAGATATCTTTCAGAGTTTATTTGAAAACAAAAATAAAACTCCATTACAATTTTTTTTAACATAAGAATTTATAAGTATGAAAAATAGAACAAAAGTATCAAGCTTCATTTTTACACAACTGGTTTACACAATAAACAGCATGATAATGAAATGTGGGGATAGGCACAGTTCTCCAAAAATGAAGCTTCTGTCATCATTTACTGACCCTCATGTCATTCCAAACCTGTATGACTGATTTCCATCTGTGATGGAACAAAAGAAGATAATCTGTGTTTTCTTTGTCAATACAGTGAAAGTCAATTGTTGTTTGGACCCCACTGTTCTTCAGAATATCTTCTTTGTGTTCCGCAGATAAAGAACATGACAACATGAATGACATACAGGTGAATAAACGATGACGCTTTTCACTAGTTGTCAAATATGGGTTTATTCTCTTTGGTGCTATACTGTATTTTTCACTTTTGTGAATGTTTAAAAAGGATGAACCAGCAAAATACCTTGTTTTGCAGGCTATTCCACATACAAGTCATACAGGTTTGGAAACACGTGATGGAGAGCAAATGACAATTTTGGGCTAAAACTAAAGTGATTCAATCGTATGTAGGCTGTAGATTAAGTTTAATATGTCTTGGCAAACTGTACATCTTTTAAAATGCTGTAAACTGCACATTCGATTTATAATTTTAACATTCCTGGGTCTAAGTTTTCAATCCCCATTCAATTCAAAATTCAACGAAGATGACGTTTTAGTTTACACCATTATTTTCACAAGCATTCCTGTTTCCATTCAAACTGTTAGAACACACTGGAATAGTTTGATTGTATAGCCTAGGGGAAGAACTGAAGCAATAAAAACATAACTTACCTCCCAAAAGCCACAGACATAAACAGAAAAATGCATGAAACACCATATTCGTTAAAAGCCAAAACAGTCTGAAAGCATAAACCGAGACATTTCTGAGAATAATATTCAGAGGTCTCTTCACCTATAGACGAAACCTACTGGAAAAAGGCGGCGTCATTGCTGATGCAGCTCCGTTGATTGTGGGTTGGCAGTTTTAGTCCGAAAAATAATTAATTAGTAGTAGGCTTCCACATGGCCAGACTATTGCCTCTCCTTTTTTTCATTTAATACGTTAATGGAAGCCCAGAAAATGCTTGCTTATACACAATCATCATTTGCGTTTGCTGTGACTTGTTTTTCGAAGTCCTGCGTTTTATTCCAAGGTTTTTGAGGAAAGGAGCGCTGACACATCTTATAAAGGCGAACGCCGATTTTATTACGCGATTAAAGCGAACAAGCGTTTTTGCGCATGTGTTTGAAGAAACTAAAGTTAGAAAACAGCATTCCTGCTAGGTTTTTTTGGTGTGCATGTAAACGTTAAGATGAAACATGAGACAGTGTGGTGTGTAACAAAATAAAATCAAGGTAATATCACTATTTTAATCAAATGAAGAGTAGAATATCAAAAAGAACAGAATAGCCTATATAATAATTTTGTGTCCCCAACTTTGTAAAATAAAAAAGAAGAAAATGTGTGTGTGTGTGTGTGTGTGTGTGTGTGTGTGTGTGTGTGTGTGTGTGTGTGTGTGTGTGTGTGTGTGTGTGTGTGTGTGTGTGTGTGTGTGTGTGTGCACAACATGTGTGTGTGTGTGTGTGTGTGTGTGTGTGTGTGTACGATGCATGCTACTACTATAGTTGTGAATACCAGCCACCACAAATGCTAAACACAATAAATAATTTAGATATAAATGACACAGTGCTGGATGGACATGGAGTGAAAAGTTGCCTAACGAGTTTATTTGCCAAGGGTTTATATGCAAAACATTCTCTGTGAACTACAACCTCCTTATTCTTGTCTTTGCATAAAGCGAACATGCTATGCAGATATGTTGGATATTGTGAATCGCACGTTTAGCCACAAACACACTTCACATTTTCAGGCATTTTTTTCACATACGAGTGGTAATTGATTTACGCCGATATTTTCTGCAGCTGTACTCCTCTTTGCTATAATCATGACATCTTGAAAATTGATAGTGACGCTTGATATAGACGAAAAATATAGATATAAATTTCCTTAAGCTTTTGTAGAGCTTTTGTTTATAACAAATTCCATTTGTTGCATTTCTTGTTTCAGGTTAATGTAAGTGAATTTACAGTGCCTATAGAAAGTCTTCATACCCCTTCATTTTTTTCACATTTTGTTATGTTGCGTTATTAGGTTAAACAGCTTTAAATTACTTTTTTCCCAACATAAATCTGTTGTTTGTTTTTTTGCCATTCTTCTCTTTAGATCATCTCAAGCTCTGTCAGGTTGGCTGGGGACCATCGGTGGACAGCCATTTATAGGTTTCTCCAAAGATGTCTGATTGGCTCCAAGTCCCAGCTCTGGCCAGGCCACTCAAGGATGTTCATAGAGTCGTGCTTAAGCCACTACTGCATTGTCTTGGCTGTGTGTGTAGGGTGATTGTCATATTGGAAGGTGAACTTTCAGCCCGGTCTGAGGTTCTGAGGTTTTCATTAAGGAAATCTCTGTATTTAGCTACATTCAGCTTTCCGTCTTCTCTGTTCACTTCCCCAGTCCCTGCCGCTGAAAAACACCCCCACTGCATGATGCTGCCGCCACCATTCTTCACCGTTGGGATGGTATTATGCAGGTGACAAGCGGTGCTTGGTTTCTCTCAGACATGAATAAGGAATTGAGGTTCATCAGACCAGAGAATCTTTTTTTTTTCATAGTCTGAGAGTTATTTAGGTGTATTTTTGTAAATTCCAATCAGGGTTTTATGTATCTTTACTGAGGAGGAGCTTGAGTTTGGTCACTTTGCCATCAAGCCCAGACTGTGGAGTGTCGCAGTGATGTCTGTCCTTTTGTAAGTTTCTCCCATCTCCATATAAGATCATGGAGCTCAACCAGAGTGACCATTAGTGTCTTGATCACCTCTCAAATCAAGACCAGGAGGCTAGATCTAGGAAGAGTCCTGATTGTTTCAAACTTCATCCATTAAGGATTATGGAGGCCAAATGCTCCTGTGAACCTTCAACACAGCAGAATTTTTTTGTAGTCTTCCCCAGATCTGTCTCAACACAATCCTGTCTCTCAGCTCTGCAGGCCATTCCTTTGACCTCATGGCTTAGTTTTTGCTCTGACATCCATTTCAGATGTTAAACTTTATATAGACAGGTGTGTGTGACTTTCCAAATCATGTCCAATCAACTGAATTTGCCACAGGTTAACTCCAGTCTAGAGTATAGAAACATCTCAAAGATGATCCAGTGAAACTGGAATGCTCCTGATCTAAATTTCAAGTGTCTAAAGCAACAAGTATGAAAACTTGTGCAATGTCTTTTTTCAGTGTTTCCTTTTTAATAAAATTGCAAAGTTGTGATAAATCCGGTGAGTTTTTTTCTCTTTTTCTCATATGGACGCTACGCTCCATATGACTAGTAAGTCAAATCTCAA